CCTAGTAGTAAAGCCAGGAGCCCCTAGTAGCGTCCTTGCTCCTAGGACTGTTGTCCCGATCATTCAGACCGGATTACTTTGAAGTTGCTGCAGGAGATATCAGATTCGGAGATTGAGGATGGTTCAGATGAGGAAGTTGCCTCGCGCTGCTGCCTTTAGCCGTTAGCCGCCGACTCTGTGCGTTTAGTGTTAAATGCTGTGCAGATTTGTTTCACCGACTAACTATATAGCAATTTTTGTCCCAGGGACGGGAGGTGCCCCGGAGGGACTGCCAAGGAGCAATGGCTTGTGGGCACCTCACGCGGATCTGTTGGGAGCTATTGGCTAAGATGGTAAGATGTATCGTGAGGAAGTTTGAAGGTTATACTATGTGGCGAAGCCACATTTGCGTTGCCAAGCTCTGAGAAAGAGAGCGGCCAAAGTGAGACAGATGAGAGTGGAGAAAAGGAGAGGAATCATTGGTCAGACTCAGACTTTGTCTGTTTGGAACTCTGGGATGTTAACAGCGTCTGAGGGATGTTTGTGAGAAATGTGCATGGGCCTGCGAGGACATGACTGCAACAAGTACAGTAGTTAGCTGTCAGTGTCTACATTCATGCATCAACTCCGGACCTCAGAGATGTTGAAGAGATTTGCAAGTGTGGACCAGGACTACCTGCAAACCATGGCATTCACATGTTGGAACTTGTTGGCCTGAGAGAATTGTTGGGCGCTGATTTGTCATTTTGCCCATGGACGGCAGTGAGAGTGAGTGACTTAGATCAGTGTTTAATCTTTCAACGATTCAACGACGCTGCAAACTGTGACTTGTTCTGACACAGCTGTCATGAATTTGCTGTTCAGCACCCATCAGCAGTTTTAGTACTGAATTGCAGGGCACATCCACATCAGGTAATCTCACATTTATATACTTGCTGATTTATGCAGATTGATGCAGGACTTGTTGGCTGACAAGTGAGTGCTTGACCAGCATGGATTCGGCGGGAAAAAAGAGAAGCATGGTGCTGTCCTGCCATTGGCCATTGGACTGATGTGTCCACATACGCTCAACAAATGGACAGTTGCACTTTGAGGGAAATCATGGGTTGTCAGAGGTGGACGTGCTGGCAATGGAATGGAATCTTACACATGTCGGGGCCTTACTCATGGCTGCATACAGCACTCCTGAATATGTGTTGGTGTTTCACATTTCGTTCTAGGAACGCTTGATCTTTTGGATCATGTGAATGGTGGGCATAGATGTTGGTGTGTTTGGAAAGGTCTTGGCTCATTAAAGTTAAAGTGGTGGCCCCTGACACAAGCTGATGGCCCTCAAATACTCGCTCAGAGCCCAGGAAGCCAAGGGCAGGCTGAATGAGGCGTGTGCATATTCACCGGAAGAAGCAGGGAAAATCCATTGAACGCTTGCTTGTTTTGAAGTAGTGACGTTGAAGACCCAAGTAAGACCTACTTTGATCTCTCTCTCTCTCGCTCGCTCTATGTGTATAGACTTTAAGGCGTCCTTGTTAGTGGGACACATATCTCGTTTCACGCAGTGTGTTGCAGAGTTGTGCACAAACGCAGTCATTTTGCGGAGTGCCCTGACGTGAGCCATATGATGCCAGATGGTGTCGAACAGAGGCACCAAGAAAAGTGCTGCACTCAGACCATGGGGCGACATGACGGTGGTACACGGGGGTTTTGAAGTCCTGTTGTACTTTTCCCTTATGCAGGGTTGGTTGCCAGCATTTTGGCTTCTTGAAACTGGCCGTTGGGATGGGCATGGAAGGCTTGAGGAGAATCAAAGCAATCAAGCCCAACAAACTCATTATATACTGTAACTATATAGTGTTATCTACAATATATATATATAGAGATTAGATCTCCTATGATTTCATCAGATGTTGAGGTTTTATTAAAGCGTCCAGATGCTGGGATCGTTCTTGCCCCGTAGAAAGCAACAGGGTGCATCAGAGCTTGGCACACTACATGACACCTTGTGCTCAGGCCAGGACATTGTGAGGCTGGAGAAGATTTTGGAGCACACGCAGAACAAGTCCGAAACGGCCTTTCCCTCAACCTGTCTGATGCTGGATGATGAGACGTACCAGAACATCAACACGAACTAACTAAGTGTCCTATATATTTTACATTGATTACTATTTTTGTTTGTGTTATTTGGTTGGTGCTTGGTGTCCTGGCTGGAGCGAATGCCAAATGCCATCAGAGTACTTCCTGGACGTGCCTGGCAACTTTCTGTTGGAAGTTTACGGCTTTCCAAGGCCATCAACCTAGCCCAGCAAATCTTGGATGGAAAGCTGGAAGATTTGCCCGACATGGGTGAGGCTTGCACCAACTGCGCAGAAGAAGGGGAAGAGCAGGAACTGCGCAAGGTTGTGTGTAGCGAGTGTATTCAAAAGGATTGCTCTGCCAAACTTCAATGGCCCCTAGTCCCCTTAAGGCAGAGGACGTTATGAAGAAGTTCAAGCTCGATGACGAAGCAAGACGCAAGCTTGTCCTGGCCTCATCGTCGTTCGTGGAGGACACTCGTTACAATCTGCCTGTTCAGCCCTTTTGACCTTCAGGAAAGGTTGCCCTTTTCAAGGATCACAATGTGAAAGGTCTTGTGTAAGAAATCCATGTTGTGCAAAGGCTTCACCCCTAAATCAACAATCTAGACGTACTGTAGATTGTAATGGTAGTGGCTCATCAACCCTTTTTTCTTTGGTCTAGCTCCCTTGATTGTATTTCCGTTGTATGTTTGTTTCTCAGGATTTGCTCATAGAAAGCGCTCAGCAAGAGCTAGAAACCTACCTGACCAAACAAACGCCCCTTGAGGACAGGAATAGCTTGTGAACGCAAAAACGAAAGATGTGAAGAAGGGGTCAACAATTAAAGTACTGCATAATTTAAAGTAGATTGAGATGAGACAGACCAAAAAAACACGGGAAGGTGCCAAATAGGCGAAACGGATGCAACCAGCAATCGAACAACCAACCAAAGCAGGGTAGACGGGTAGAAGAAGTAAGTAAAGACAGCAACCATTTGCACATTGTTGGGCGGCAATGAGTTGTGAAATCCCATTTTGAGGATAGGGTTTTGCGCCATAGGCAGCAGGAGCATTGTATTGCAAATTGAGATGACCACGTCTCAAGAAAGTTGTACAGGGCTTAGGTGGGCCCTTTCCACACAAAAGACCGTGAAAAACAACATCGCAGAAAAGAATTAACAAACAAGGTAAAAGGCATTCACCGCAAGTGTATCCTAGCCTCAACTTTAGGCCAGTGCACTTGCAAACCCTTGCTTGGACAGACCTCTACCTAGCAGTCTTTCATGGCAAAAGGGTGGCAACCATCGAATAAACAAAACAACAAGTATTCCTGAGAGGTGTTTGGCTGGGACGGAAAGGTGGCCTCCAAGAAAAAGGACAAATACACAACAAGCATATAAACTTTTCTAGAGTGGGCTGGGGCTGCCAGGGGTCCTCAAAAGAGTGTACAGATTCATATGTTTTATTGCTAGGACAATGTGTTAAAACTCTTAGCTGAAGCCTTGGGCAGCGTCTATGCAGAGGATAGATGTGTGTGAAAGAGCCCAGAGAAGTCCCTAGGTTCAGATCGTCCTTCAGAGAGCAGATGACAGCTCACGTGTGCTGGGCAGACTGGAGGCCATGAGTTTCAAGTTCATGTTGAAGATGTTTGAAAGTATGTATTGGTTTGGAATTGCATGTTGGAATTTTATGGTTTTGCGATCTTGGCTTTGATTGGGGCTACAGTGTCAGATGATTGGACGTTCAAATGTCACAGGAAGGTATATCTGGAGCTTCCCTGCAAGAATGCAAAGCTCTTCAAGACAGTCATGACACTGCACGTGCGTAAAGTTGGACTTGTCCTTTGTGCCCCATCATGAATCATTGTTTCCGACCATTTTTCCCAAGTTGTGACCTGTCGACTCCTCTTCTCGAAAAAGCATGATATTCCTTTTTCTCCCGCAATCGTTGAGCACCCCACCAACCCAACCATTTTCTTGATGTTGAGGCTGCATATCAGAACTCGCAATTACCTGCATTTTTGGCAACACATGCAAGTCTGGATGATGCGGGCCATGTGTCACAACACTAACTTCGTGCATGCTGTTGGCCAGCACGTGCAGCAAGTTTGAGTTTGTTGTGCGGGTGGATGGTGTAGCCTTCGCAGAGGACTGGTCTCTTGGGTTTGTGCTCGGGGAAGCTGCATTTCCGCAGCCACAGGTCACTTGTGACTGCGCTCGTCTAAGCTGCATACTGCCCTTCTTGGGCCCTAAGAGACGGTCCTGAACGTACTTTGGGTTTGACCTTTTGAGGTTCGGTGCTGGCTCTCAGCCTCCGCGGTCACACTCAGAACAACAAGTTCAATTTCACGAAACAGCTTGTATTCATGATGATTGCATCCTGGACGGAGCGGCATATGACCAACTTAGACACTCCCTTGCGCGGGACTTTCCAGACGACCGCTTGCAAGTAGGGTTGAAGCACTGTTGAAGCCTTGGTGCTGTCCTAGCTAGAAATGGGTCGAGCAGCAAGGCTTCCACGCTGCTTAACCATTCCCGACAAATCGATTTCCTCAATCACTCTTGAACCGCGTGAGCTCAAGGTCTATCTCGAGTCTGCACGGAAGCCATCAGACGCTGTAGCTTCGATGCATTTAACCCATTCCCGTGCAGTCAGAAGGTATGGAAATTGCCCTTTGCAACTGCTTCTCGGCCCCTGTGGATTTGAGGTGAGAACAATGTTTGGCCGTCTTATGGCTGGAGGGGCTGCTACCTCAGTTGTAAGGAAAGCCGGAAGCTGGCTGGGCAGCCAGCAGTTTTTGACGGAGCTATGTAGATGACGAAACTACCTACTGCAGTATATTATATGCTTAGACCGCCGTTGCGTTTTTGCGAACATTTTGCAACAAATCTGGTTTTGAAACTCGGGCCCAGGACGTGCCAGAAGAGCACAAAGACAAAGAGGAGAAGAGAGGTGGCGATGATGACCGCGATGGGTCCAGAGGCCCTGGCCAACGTGATGGCATAGACACGATCAATCCGTAATTAAATAAATCAAGGCATGCACATCAATCCATTGAAGTGGGAGTGACGTGCTTCCAGATCGCCGCCGTGGACGAGACCGCGACCGTGACCGTGATCGTGGGGATCTCTGGATGGCTTCAACTTGCGGGGTTCGTTAGCACTGCCCTGAAGTTGCCTTGTAGATTTGTGTAGGCCGCTCCAGGTCCCGCTCACGTTGACACCTCAGTTGGGTTTGATCAGGTGTGAATTCAATTATCGCAGGTGCTCATTGAATCAACCTTTTTCATTTCCTAGAATTCAAGAAGTCATTGATGTGCTTTCCCAGCTGAATGCTGCGAAAAGAACTCACGGCTCCAAGAAGTCTAAGCAACACCACCCAGCACTCTTTCAGGACGCCGCTCCCGTTCGCGAAGACGCTGAATGAACTCAGAAACGCGCTGTCCCAAAGTGGGGAAGGGGCAGTTCACGGCAGTTTACAGTGAGCCATTGGCCATTCCCCACGATGCTCAGCCATACCCAGCCATGCCACGCACTGCGCAGGCTATTTGTGCCCGACCCTTGGGCTGGATTGCATGTTTAGCTACAGTGGTTGCTGGAGCCAAGAATTGGAAGTTCGGCTGTGCTCAGACAAGTCTGCTGTTGGCCCACAAATCTTTCAGACAGGCCTCCCAACATCCTCAAATCACTACATAGTGTGGGTAGTTCCTGACCCCATGTGTCCTCCCAGAGTGTGGCCGTTGTGGCTGTTTTGTACACGTACCGCTCAGACACACTCGCCAGTGCGACCTGCTGCGTTCCATCTATATACTGTACCATCGGGCGCAAGGTCAAAAAATTGCACGGAATGTCGGGCAGGCTTATCATACCTGTGACTTGATTTGCCAGGTAGATGACTTATGCTACTTGTTTCAATTTGTGTAGGATAAATTGCAAGAACCATGTGTTCTGAAAACGTGGTGTGATTTTATTTTCCAGTCCAACAGAGCAACGAACTACCTTGGTTGATTTTGTTGGCTTCAAGCATGCAGTTCCTGCGTCGTGGCTCAGACCTAGCGACTGTTCTGACCAAATCCCGATTTTTCACCACACCAAGGTAGGAGGATGTGAGGCCTGTGCTAGGATCATTGTATTTCAGGAGCACGGACAGTTCTTGCAACCCACTTCGAGTTGACCAAGACCTTAACTCAAGTGTAGCTTGAGACCTTTATTTATTGTGGCAGGCCTTCGGGCTTCTAGGGGGGGGGAACCTCTGGCAGTCTGCGCGATGTTGTCCTGGACTTGTCGTTTGATGCGCCCTTTAGCATGTGCAACCTGGCTGTAAGCAGAACGTGTTAGGAACATCGACTGGTTGAGACATTTTATGCAGAGAGAGAGGGCGGGAGTGTGGGATGTGGAGGGCAGTGCTGAGTTTCTCTCGTGTCTCAGTCTCGAACGGATGTCGAAGGAACACTTTGGCTTTTCACATTGGGTGCTTGATGACTTGATGCATATTGATTTGAGCTGCTTTGCAAATAAGCATGAAGACGCAGAAGGTTCTTATAGGAGTTCTCAGGCAATCATACATTGCCCTCTGGAAGGGTTGTATGGAGCAAGTTGCAGCCAGAGACAGCAAATGCGAGGCCCGGCGGATATCGGCGCCAGTGGCACTCACTGTTTCCAGGCACCTGGACGGGACGCAGACCAAAATATGTGGGGTTTGTGATGCTGACTGCGGCGCAAGTATTTGCTCAAGTGTTTGCAGCGCTCGAAGCCGAAGCACAGTATAATTATATACGTTTTCTGTGATGGTGCCCGTTGCCGGTGCATGTTTTTGCTTTGCGTCAGGCGTTGCTTCGCAGATCTGCAGGATGAGAAGGACATCCAGGCGGAGCAAAACCAGATCAACAGTCTTAGAATAAGGCGCTGCACAAACTGAATGGTGCCAAATGCAGTTTTGGACTGCGCTCTTTTGTCGTGGAACACATTCGCAGCCATTTGCAGGGGTTCAAGGAATGGCTCCTGGGGATATGGAGCCAGACCAGGTGCTGCGGTGGGCAGCTTGATTTTTAGGGCTAGAATGAACAACTACCACTTGTACGAGGAGATCGGGCGTGGCAAATACTCTCAAGCTGCTTGGACTAGTATTTTTTCCCACATTGTTGTGTGGGGTTCTTGTTTTTTTTGCTGCACCTCCTCGCTCGTCCTCGCTCGTCCTCCTCCGTCCTCCTCCTTCCTTCCTCCTTCCTCCTCTCTAACTACAACCTCTCTCACACAACATCTCTCACAACAACATCTCTCACAACAACATCACTCAGACAACATCCCACACACAACGTCTTGCATACAACATCACTCACACAACATCTCTCACAACAACATCTCACACACAACACACAACATCACTCACACAACATCGGATGCCAAGGGGTCGGATGACAAAACATCACTCAGAGAACATCCCACACACAACGTCTCACACACCACAGCACACACACAACATCTCTCACAACAACATCTCACACACAACAGCACACACACACACAACATCACTCACAGGCGCAGCACATCTCGTGGCAGGCACAGCACTTTGCTGCTTGCCAAGGGGTCGGATGTACGCCCTGGCGTCGGCTGGGCACGATTTCGTGGCAGGCGCAGTACTTTGTGAACCTCCGTGTGCAGATCTCGTGGCAGGCACGGCACTTTGCTGCTTGCCAAGGGGTCGGATGTACGCCCTGGCGTCGGCTGGGCACCGGCGCTGGATGTGCAGATTTCGTGGCAGGCGCAGCACTTTGTGAACCTTCATGTGCAGATTTCGTGGCAGGCGCAGTACTTTGTGAACCTCCGTGTGCAGATCTCGTGGTAGGCGCAGCACTTTGTGAACCTCCATGTGCACTGTGTGCGGCGCTTGCTGCT